AGGCATGGAGGTATTTATTCGAAGAATTCAAACAGGAACAGATGAAAGGGTGAAACCCAACACGCACAATTATTTACATCTCTGGCAATATTGTTACGACGGTCAGGAGGAAACACAGTCAGTCACCACCTGAAGCAGACCTCGCTGGAGGTCGAAAGTGTTTGTGGAGTGTACTATGGACATAACACTTGTAAAAAAAGGTTTTCGTGGACTGTTAATATTTTATTAAAATTTGTAAATCTCAAGTTGTTAGTAAAGTTATTTAATAATGTTTAAAATTTTATATGAATGTTAGTTTTATAATATATAAAACAGATTTATACATTGTACTAAGGGTGGTAAAAAAATACCTTTTAAAGTTGCTGCTTTGTAATAGTGTTTAACATGTATGTCAATAGATGTCTCTGAAACTCACATGCAAGATGACACCAGTTTCACAATCATTCTAGAAGTGCATCAATCCAGCCTATCTTGCCCTCCTTGACTGAATGTGACAAGAGTTGTAATTGTACGGGAGATTCAGCAGTGTGAGAGTTACCAAGGGTATAAGGAAATTACCTATATCACTTACTGGCGCACGATCGTGTGATCGGCTCTCTAAACTTTTTATAGGAGGGCGATAATCGCTATATGATCCGAACGGCAAAGTTCAGATGCTCGTCAGGTTCCCGACACCAGTTTGTCGATTTTCTCGTTGCGCGGACAAACACGCGTATGAGATCTTATTCGGAATCAATTGAAGAGACATTTAAGTATATTTAACAAGAGTAGATTTAATAATTCTAAAACAAAACGAATACAAATAATCGATGAATGACAATTAAGCGACAAGATATAGGCTAAGACTTATTCTATGCTAATGCGCAATCGAGAGAGAGAGAGCTCACAAAATCATTCCAAAACATACGACCTGTTTAGTTGTCGTCGTTCGTCTTCTTCTCTGTATGCAAGGGACTCCTTGTAGATAGAGTTCATTTACTTCTTCGTACGGGAGATCAATTCGTGCACAAAATATAAAAGTATCTTCACTAAGTTTAGACTCGGAACTTAGTCTATGGGACTCGTTTAAGGGCGTTGGTCATCAGGAGGAGAACTGCGTGGAGTTTTGACGCTTCGGATCTGTCGAAGAAACTCCCCGAATTCGGACTAAATTCCCCTTATACCTCCTGAATTTCGACCAATCATCGGCCAGTAACTCTTTCATGAGAACGGACGAAAGGGGGATGAATGAGGGGTAACCATTTCCCATCTGAGTGAGATTTTTAACCAGATAAGGGAAAGTCAGAGGATGTTCTCTTCTATGAAAGGAAGTAGCATCTGTTATCTGGTTTTTTCCCACGTCTAAAACACTAGTTTTTCACCAAAAAATGAAGTAATATTTTGTGTCGATAATTTAATATTATCAATAAAAAATTATTAAATGTGACCCAGGGCCTTTCGGGTCTCAAAACTCTCCAACAGGCACTTTGAAAGCAATCCCCCATCTCAGGCTACTCTGTACAAGTGGTATCAGCACTTGTACAGATCTGGGTGCTTTAACCTTGATGATGAATGTGAAGGGCATCTAAGAGCTATGGTAATTCCAGAGAAGATTGATGCTGCCAAGGCCTGCTTGATGAAGACTGATGAATAAGTACTAGAAAGCTATAATGCAATCTCAACATCTCAGATGGGTCAGTCATTACATCTTGCATGAACTCCTTCATATAAGAAAGTTGTATGCTCATAGGGTTCCTCTTTAGTTGCAGCCAAACCATAAGGAACCATGTGAAATTCTGCAAGTTCATGCTGGAGAAATTTAATGGTAAAACATCAAAAACAGTAACCAACTTACTGACAGGTGATGAAACCAAGATTTACTATTACAACACTGAAACTAAAAACCACAGCAAGCAATGGTTAGTGAAGTCAAGGCTAGTCCCATGAAGTGTTGGAAAAGTCACAGTAGCAGTTTTCTCCACCATTGTGGCATCCTTCCACCTGTCATCCTGGAACAAAGTGCTACAGTGACCAGAAACTGGTTCTCTTCTCTTTGCTTGCAAAAAGTTCAGTTACTTTAAGAACAACATCCAAGATCCAAGCTATGCAACATCATGATCCATCACAATAATGCTCAAAGACATGGAGCTAAACTGACCCAGTTATTTTTAGAGTCCTTTAAGGTGATCCAACTTCCACATCCTGTTTATTTGCCAGACCTGACAGCATGTGACTTCTTCCTCTTTCCATGGATAAAGAGAAATTTGAAGGAAAGGAAGTTTGATTCAAAAGAAGAACTGGTGAATGTGATAACAGCAGAGTTACTCAAGTTTTCAAAGATGGATTTGCAAGGGTGCTTTTTGAATTGATTTTCAAAAATGAAGAAATGCACTGGTTCTGATGGAAAATATTTTGAGAAATTGAGAGATGTATGATTCTGTGTACAAAAAATGAATGATACCCTATAAACATAAGTGTTTTCCTGCAAATTTTTCAACCAATCCCCATAGAATTTAAAAAAAAAAATGGTAAATAGTATAATCTTTAGTTTTGATTTCATTAGCAAAGTGGTAAAAAATAATGCTGTTATGTGTAAACAAGATAAAATATTACACAGTTTAGATAGGGGTATCAATTTAAAGGTGTAATTTGATCATCAAAATTCATTTTAATCAAATTACACCTTTAAACTGATACCCCTAGCTAAACTGTAATATTTTATTAGAGAAGGCCTAATCATCAAAATTCATTTTGATGATTAGGCCTTCTCTCATTTCATGAACACATTATTTACTTTGATCATCTTACTTTCCATAAATATTTTAATGTTTAGCCTTCCTGGCTCTATTTGCCAATAACCACTCATCATATGTGCTGTTCATCTTCTGTTTCTGTTCCCTTTTAGACTATCTCATTCATACTTTTATTGCATATTAAATAATGTATACAGAGTTAAACATCTTTTATGTCAAGATTTTGTGTGTCACAAAACGTCACTGTAAATGTACTTTGTATTATTTTTGAATTCTTGTTATGTTTTTGGGTTTTTTATTGTTATTGGTGGGAGAAAATCCTTTATCTGTAAGACATTTCCTAGTGTAAATTAAAATAAATATTTTATAACAATGAAAACAGTAATGGTTTATAACCTATTAGCATTAGAATTAACAAGTCACATGTCCTAATTGTCAATGAGACTAACTAACTGCTCATCAAAAATTATATTAAAAAAGTTTCTTTTGCTGGACAAACTACAAACAAAGAACAACCTATGTAATGGGATGGAAATTGGTGACATATGGTATGATGTCATCAAGAACCATAAAAAGGTGTCACAAATGTGAAGTTGAATAGAGAGACACAACAATCTTGGACACTGAAGCTGTGAGGTTTGTTTTGTATACCTGTTGTAAATTTAAATCTTAATTTTTTTTCATTAATGTATATATTTTCTTAATTTTTTTTTTAATTTAAAATTTATAGCCTGAAGAGGGATTGGATAATACCAATCTGAAATGCATTGTTAAATAAGCAAATAAATCTTGGTCTCTGTTTACTGTGGATAATTAAGTGAGAGAGTTGGACTTGACAAAAATTTGGATAGAAAATTCATTTTTTGTCTTTTGAAAATTTTTTCCAATTTTATTACCAGAGAATGATCACATCTCTCTTCCCAGAGTCATTTCTTTTCCCAGGGAACTCATCGAATGTGTCACAGGGAACTAATAGCAAAAGTTCACAATTAGTGAAAAAAGGATAACATGATTTGGAGGTATAAAAGGAGTGACTCAAGGACAAGGGGTCGTCGAGAGTTTGTGAGTGTATCAACCAAGTGTCCTGAAAAAAAAAAGGAGAGGTATCGTCATCATCCAGGCTATCAAGGTTTTCATACTCTGTTTTTTGACACCTTCGAACTCCCCGGATTCCATTGGGTTGACCACCATCCAAGAAAAAGAAAATTTAATGCCTCAATCACTCCAACTGAAAGTCAGCAATTCAGAAATCTGCACAATTAAGTGCATCAAAGGTATCTATACCAACTCGTGGTTTCTTGTAAACTCTCTCTCTCTCGACCATTATTTGATAGAATAGAGCTATATATTCTTTTTTGTTGAATTAAATCAGTTATTTTAGTTGTTAACCTTGAATCAAGTGATTCACTCCCGATCCGTATCTCAATCCTCCTTCATCCCAAATCTGATTGCCTGCGCATGCGTTGCACAAATTCCAAAGTTGCAGTTTCTGTGTCTATCCTGAAGACACAGTGGTGTCAGTCCTGACGAGGTATTAAAGAGGTGCCGACCCTCTGGTCACAAAGTAAGACGTGATAAAGATCACTAGTCTCACTATTAGAAGATGAAACTTTAACTCATCATAATAAATGTTAAATACACTCAAAAAATTAAATAAAAAATTTTAACATTGATAATATCTATTGATAGGTTTAAGAGTTAATCACTCTGCTTGTGTTCCCTGAAGAGAGCTAAAATAGAAGAAAATCAACAGTCAGTTTCTAAATAAAATTAAAATCTTCTATACAGTTCTTTCAGAGAAGTGAGAATTATTGAAACTCATCAGCTTTTAAGATACAAGTTCAAGTAGGAATGACAAATAATATCAATTAAAAAAGGAATTAACCTAAAGAAAATGAACAGGAGAGAGCTAAGGGCAAGAAATAAATTTGTGTATCTTTGGTAGTTTGGGGAAAAATAGCAGGATGCAAAGGATTTTTTTGTGTTTCCTAAAAATGCTTTTAGTGACTTTAGACAAAAGGAAAAGCTGTTTAATGCGTTTGTAACTGCAAGTGAAAATGGGTAAATAACCTGCACAATTGCATAATTCATACCTGCTTTCAAATTGACTTTCAAACACAGATAACCTGAAGGTTATTCACACGAAATTATAGTAATAATTAACTAAACAACAGTATATTTTTAGATTAGAGTTTTAGGTATATTCAATTTATATATCAATATTTATATCTTATTAAAAAAAATATTAATAAACTAAATAAATTAGATCTTAAATGTGAAATAAATACCACAATATTAAAAACAGCAAATCATACCTATAACTATTTCATCATCAGTTTGACTATTTCCTATGCATTCAAACTTGAAATTCATTAGAGTATTTGCAAGACTTCGTTGTGCTCTTGAAAGGTCTAGAAATTAAAAAAATGAAGAATTAACATGCAGAAAATAGGTTAACAAAAATATATTCAACTTAAATAACTATGACATAAAAATCATTTTTATTTACACTATTATAAAAAATACAAGTTATATATATTCCATAATATTGAAATATCTAATATAAAGTTCATTCTTGAAACTCGACTTTAATTAAATGTGTGTGTGTATAAATATAAACACAAAAAATCCTTTAAATAACTCCTTATTAATAAATAAAATACTTAGACAGCTTTAGTTTTTGAAATTCTATTCTATTATCAGAATTTCTATAAAAATAGACATACCTAAGTTTGTTTCTTTTCAATTAAGTTTACTTTGAATTACTTAAATAATTTATGTTCTTGCATCAAATTCTTAAACTTATTAAAGCCTTTTCTTTTAGCAAAGTAAGATTCAAAAACTAAAAATATTTATATTCATATTCAAACCATGTATGTATTAAAATTTGTGAATACTTTCAAAGATATACAGCCTTTGTCATCAGGCAAAAATTGAACACAGATTTTAAACATAAGAAAAGAACATAAATGCAACATTTATTTTTTAAATTTCATAAAAGAATGAGGTTGATCACGTCCTTTTCATCCTGCAATACTCCTACCATCAATATTCTGCATTTATGGATATAATTACTTATACAATACACTTTTTATGTATGCTCTAAAGATCTTTACACTTGGAAATTTATATTTTTGTTGATAATTTTGCATGTATCTCAATTTTATTAGACTGTTCTAATAATTTTTTATTAAATATTTGATATGCCAATCTCATGCCTTTACGAAATTTAAAAAAGAAACGTTGCATTTATGTTCTTTTATTATATTTAAAACTAGCAGACCCCGCCACGCGTTGTTGTGGCTCAAAATGTATCTATTATAAATTTATAACACTTCCCCCGTGGGGGGATTTTTCGAAAAATTTCTTCTTAGTGTACATTCTCTTGACGTACCCTATTAAAACGCAATCAAAAACGCAAAAACCCGCATCTAAAATAGTATAATAGAAGTCAAGTTCTTCACGGTAAGCCTTAATTCTGTCCCTCTCCCCGTGGGGGATATCGAAAAATTCCTTCTTAGTGTACATTCTGTTGACGTACCCTATTAAAACGCAATCAAAAACGCAAAAAACCGCATCTTAAATAGTATAAATAGAAGCAGAGTTCTTTACTGTAAGCCTTAATCCTGTCCATCTCCCCCCAGTGCGGGAAATTTCGACACGTATATGATATAAAAACACGTGCGTATTCGAATGCAGCGCTGTGTCAAAATTTCAAAGGAATCGGTAGGAACAAACGAACATTACATTTTTATTTATATAAATAGATAGAAGATGATCCACTTTAGTTCATTTTCACAGAAAAGCGTAATGCCTCGCAGAAAAGCAAACTTAGGGCGTCGTACTCGTAGCGCCATCTGTTGGACATAAAAGCCTTAACCTAGATTATATATTTTAATTTATATGAATGTTTAACGGAATAATATACAGGCTATGTCCACCTTGAGGTTCCATTTTAAATATTGGTGAAAGAATTTTTGAAATCGGATGAGTAGTTTCGGAGATTACCTGCTGCAACGAAACTTACATACATACAAACATTACCTCTTTATATATTAGTATAGATTTGTGTTTGATTTTTGCCTGATGACCAAGGCTGTATGTCTTCAAAAGTACTTGCAATGTAATAAGTACATGTTTTTATCATCATCTAGGTGTAATTTCTCTCCCATATAACATTCCCAGCATGAAGTAAAAATTGTTTTTATATTCAAATCCCTTTTGTAAATGAAACTTATTTCAAATTGTCTTCAGATAACATAAAATGACAGATATTGCTGTTAAATGAAATCTTTGTACATTTGCACATACAATGTAAACCTGATTACAAGTGTATTCATAATAGAAAATTTCTCATAAATAGTGACAAGCTTATCCATTAATTCTTACAGTAAAAATTTGTATCTCATCATGATATAACCCAGTCATCTAAATAACATTAAAATGCTACAAAAAAAATCTATTTGTCTAGCAACCAATGATTTTAAATGAAAATAAAATTGTTGTTTAGATTAATCACAATGTAGAAGAAACTAGAGAAGTGAATATGATATAAGAGAAGGAAATATGTAAATTGCAAGAAATTTATTTAACAGTAAAAAAATAATAGTTATAATGACAAGCAGAAATCAAGTAAAAATTGTTTTCTAATTAATCATATTTTATTTCCTATGAAAAATAACAGAAAACAGATATACTGTATATATAATATATATACAGTATATATATATAATTCTTTCGATATTTTTTATTACAACAGTTTTTCTACTACGTTAGTTAATTACGGAGTCATTATTTCCAGATTTCATTGCAGTTTATGTTAACCTTGGTTCTATTTTTAATGTTTCATACATTTAGCTTAACTTTGATTATCATCATCATAATCATCAAAAGCAGAATAAAGCCATTATATATAGCTTACATTTATAGAAAATGCATTATTTTAAATATTTCACTGTTATTTATCTATCCCAATTCATCACACACACAATGTTTCATATAGATTAAAAGTTTTCATAAAAATTTACATTTACCTTATATTTTAATCTTAACTTTTATGTAATCATTTACCAAAATCTTAAGTTTTGAAACGTTTTTCTTAATCTTTCTTTCAGTCTTTTAAAAATGAAAAATTGGTTAATTAATTAGCTATAAATTTATGCAAAAATAAAATTTAGTCTNTATGTTTGAAACAATTTAGGTGTTCAATCTGATGATATGAAAAACATCTCAAAAAACATTTAATCAAAAATAAATATATTTAACTCTGAGTTGTATAGTGATCTTCAAAGTAAAATAGGATTGCTTATTAGTAGTACATACATGGTGTCCAAGAAAGATCTACATTATAATAAATGGATTGGCCATGGGAGACCAACACCTGGTCTCCTAGATTGTCTGAAATAAACTCATGAAAAGAAATCCAGTGAGGTTATGTGAATAATTGTTACTAGTAATGTGTTATTCTTTCTTTCTAAGTAGTAATGTGTTCCGAACGTTACTACTTAGAAAGAAAGAATAACTCTTGCATCTCCAATGTTACACAAAAAAGGCTAAACAACACCTGGCAGGAAATCAGATTGGACATTCTTCATGCAACTAGTTGGAGTTCATTGAGTGTGTGTAAAACACCCTCAACTTTTGTATTAATTTTTGTAATAAAAAACTTTTTTAGTTAATCTTTCTTTTACTGCAAACCACATTTTGATAGACTGCTTCAGTTTTTAAATGAATTTTATAATAATATAGATCTTTCTTGAACATCCTATATATCTAGAGTATTTGTCACATTGCATAAAACAATTTACAAACACGAGATGAAATCAATGAAATCCAAACCCAGTTAAAAATTCTTGACATGTTTTTTGAAGTAGTCTTACTGCTATGCTTTACAATTTAGAGAATTTGCTCATAATAATTAGCAACTTCAATATAATTCTACCATTTCATTGACTGGAGAAAATAATTTATTTACTATACAAAACTTTGAAATATGGAAATAAATGAAAAATACCACCACTATAGACCAGAAAAATATTTTATGAATATAAATGATGATAATTCCAATGAAAATTGAATAAACACAAGTAAAAGTTTGACTTCACAGCCAGTAGTTTGTTTACTACAAACCCCCTGCTAAGTAACTTGTGCAAGGAAACTGGTTTTTGCTCCTTGGAGTGATAGTGTTAATATGATCTTGTAGAAAGAGATGAGTGCTAATGAAAGGAAGAAATGTAAAGTTGTTAAATGTACTTTTTACTAGTTATTTTAGTATAAATTGATAATATAACTATATCCAATGAATAAAATCTATTGTTTTGAAATTTTCTTATGAATAATTTTTAAAAGTGTATAATTAATCAAACAAAATACATTTCTTGTTAAAATATCTTTTTAAAATGATTCTTTTTTCAATGATAATAAAATTGTTTTTATAGAGAGTTTTTTAATGAGTTTTTAATGAGTTAGACAAAAGAGTTATCTGATAACCCAAATTTTGAAAATAGGCAGGAAAAAGATAGATCTTTTTCCTGCCTATTTTCAATATAACATTATTGATACTATATAATTTAATAAATTATACAATGTTAATATCTAATGTAAGAATATACAAATGGCACTTTACTTGCAATTTATACTAAAACATCAATGTCAAATTTTTTAGAAATTAAAGAACATTTCATATCTAAAACAAACATTATTACTAACTAAATTTTTTCAAAACTTCAATTGATATTTAAACACCACACATTTATTATAATTCTACAAGTTACATAAAATATGTTCATTTGTTTATTATTTACTTATTTGAACATCTCAAAATCCAATGATTATACTAAACCCAAATGATTACTGAATTAAACTGAGCTACATTACTGCTACTACTAATTATTAAATACTGAATAATTTTGCACTAGAGGTAGACATTAAGAACTTGCTCTTATTAAATTTATTATTATTATAATTAAATTAATATTTATTAAATAATTTAGAAAATTCTAGAAGAAACAAATTGGCCCAGCATGGGACTCAAACCCACAACAGCCACGAGGTTGTGCAAGTTGGTAAATATGTTATGAAAAAGTGACAGAGCAAAATAAGATTAAGAAGATTAAGACAAGGAGCTTTAAAAAAGAGACTGTAAAAAAATTAAAAGAAAAATGAAATCAAATTCTGTAATCATAGAAATAAAAATGAGAATGAGGCAGAAATTAAAGAATATGATAACAAGGATTAAAAAGATATGAAAGGAATACAAAAAATGAAAAAATAGTAGTATAAAAATACAATTTGTCCCATCAGATAATTCAGTCATCATTTAAAAACTATAGTCACTAAAAAACTAATATTCAGCAGAGAAGTTTGGAGGTGCTAATGTTTTTAGCTGTGTTGAATGGGCATAATCAGGTCT